AAGTGTTTCAGAGGAGCAGCTTCTTTGACAGAATCCCTTTGGCTGCAGCTCCTTTTGGGCCCCCTCTGAGCCAATCACCTTCTGCCACGTCATCCCAGCACAGAGCTAGCTGAGGTTTCTACACCAGAAAGTCAGCTGATTTCAGAGCAGCAGAGGAGGACCTGGCGGCGGAAAGGGGGGAAGGTGACCTGCCCTAGAGAGTAAAGTTAGCCCTGACAGTGTGGGGGTGGGGGAGGGGATGAGACAAAAATAGAGAATGAGGAAAGACAGGAAGGGTCATTGGTCGAAGGGCTCTGGGAAGGGAGGGCACATCCCTAAATTCTGCTGGTGGCTCCTCCACTCTCTGAATCAGGGAATCTCTGAGACCAGGAATGGGCCTGTTTTTCCTTTTTTAATATATATATTTTATTGATTTTTTTACAGAGAGGAAGAGAGAGGGATAGAGAGTTAGAAACATTGATGAGAGAGCAACATCAACCAGCTGCCTCCTGCACACATCCCACTGGGTATATGCCCGCAACCAAGGTACATGCCTTGACTGGAATCGAACCTGGGAGCCTTCAGTCCGCAGGCCGATGCTCTATCCACTGAGCCAAACCGGTTAGGGCAGGAATGGGCCTTTTCCCCATCCCCTCTTCAGCCTGAGACAGAGGAGGAACAGAGGGAAAGTGCAGATTTCAAAAGCAGGTTGGAGTATTTTTCAGAGCTTCCAGAATAAAGAGTTTCTGGCTGGGGAGTCTAGGTGCAGGGAAATGTCTGGAATGTCCACCAGGTCCCTGGAACATAGTGCACCCCAGCTCCAGAGTGCAGAGGTTCTATAGCAGCCACAGGCTCAGGGCATGGCAAGACCCCTGGGGCGGCTTTGTCACACATAGCCTTGGGCCCCTCTTGGCTCTTCCCTAATACCCAGATCTGGGCCAAAGCCCCACACAGCTCAGCGCAGCCACTGTCTTGCCCTCTGAATTAGTGTCCCAGGGCTGCCAGAACAACGCACCACAGACAGGGTGGCTAAACCACACAAACTGATTTTCTCACAGTTCTGGAGGCTAGCGGTCTAAATCAAACTGTTGGCAGAGTTGGTTCCTCCTCCTCCTCCTCCTCCTCCTCCTCCTCCTCCTCCTCCTCCTCCTCTTCCTCCTCCTTCCTCCTCCTCCTCCTCCTCTTTTTAACATATTTTTCAGAGAGGAAGGGAGAGTTAGAAACATGGATGAGAGAGAAACATTGATCAGCTGCTTCCTGCACACTCCCCATTGGGGATGTGCACGCAACCAAGGTACATGCCCTTGACCAGAAAAAAACCTGGGACCCTTCAGTCCGCAGGCCGACGCTCTATCCACTGAGCCAAACCGGTTAGGGTGAATTGGTTCCTTCTGAAGCTGCAAGGGAAGGTTTTGTAGATGCCGTCTTCATGTTTACATGGCACTCTCCCTGTATCCATGCCTATCTGCTAACTTCCTACTTTTATGAGGACACTGGTTCTACTGGATGAGGGGCTACCCTAGTGACCTCATTTAACCTACCTTCACAGAGACCCTGTCTCCTAGTAAGGTGATATTCTGAAATAACTGGGGGTTAGGGCTTCAGCATACCAATTTGTGGAGGAACATAATTCAACCCCTAAGATCCTCAAAGAGAACCTAGCCCCTGAGAGGCCACTCATGAGCCCCATAAGGACAGACCTATACATCACACTTCCTTAGTGAAAGTCTCACCTGGGTTAACTGGACCTCAGCTGACATCTCCCTGTCCCTTAAAACCCATTCGATTGTGTGAAAGCCCCTTTCCACACTAGGAAGTCCAGATCCTTCCTTGAGCTGTCTTTGAATTCCAGGAGATAAGCGAGCTGCTCCTGCTTCAGGTACAAGTGTTACTTCTGGGTTTGTCTGCCGAAGCCTGGCTCCCTGAGCCCCCACAACACTCCACTCCTCCATGACTGTCGCACAAAAGCCACCATTTGAAGAGAAGATTGAGGATGAGGGCATGGAATTTGCATGTTAAAAGTTCCCTGGGTGATGCTGATGTGGAATGTTCCAGAAGCACAGTGTTTCATTGGGCACTGTACCACTTTAAAAAAAAAAATGTTTTTATTCATTTTATTTTATTTATTTATTTTTTTTTTTTGAGAGAGAGAGAGAGAGAGAAAGAGGGAAAGAGATAGAAACATTGATGAGAGAAATACATCAGGGCTCCTTATACAGGTTCGGGGTGCTTTCCCTGTAGAGAGAGTCAGATTGGCTGCCTCCTGCACACACCCCCACCACAGATTGAGGCTGCAACCAGGGCATGTGCCCTGACAGAAAAGCTACCTCTTTTTTTTTTTTTTTTTTTTTAAACAACCTTATTTTTTACAGAGAGGAGGCGAGATGGATAAAGTGTTAGAAACATTGATCAGCTGCCTCCTGCACACCTCCTACTGGGGATGTGCCCACAACCAAGGTACATGCCCTTGACCGGAATCGAACCGAAGGCTGACTCTATCCACTGAGTCAAAACTCTATCCCAGTTAGGGTGCTACCTCTTTTTTTATTTTTAAAATATATTTTTATTGATTTCAGAGAGGAAGGGAGAGGGAGAGATAGAAACATCAGTAATGAGTGAGAATCATTGACCAGCTGCCTCCTGCACGCCCCCTTCCTGGGATCAAGCCCAAAACCTGGGATAAAGCCCGAACTCTTCAGTCCTCAAGCTGAAGCTCTATCCGTTGAGCCAATCCAACCTAATTAGCTTATAAATACAAATTTCCCCCTCCTTGTTCTTAAAAGGGATTCTGACAGAGCCTCAGATGGCTTAGAGCTCTCAGGTCATGGACTGGTCAAAGGTGTGCTTGCCTTGATAAACAGCTGGCACTGTCGGTGCTCACTGGGACTGTAGCCCAACGCCCCAGCTCCAGGGAGCACCGTGGAGCAGGACGCTGCATAGCAACCCTAGAAAAGACCACTAAGTGACTCCAACCATGGGGGTGACCCCTATCAACTGTGGCCATCAGCGTGGCTCCGTAGGGGACATGGAAAGGTTGACTCCTGGGAGAACATGGCAGAGACAAAGAAAAGCCACAAGGCTGCCTCCTTGCCCATCAGGCCATCCCACTCCACCCCAGCTTGCTCAAATGCAGACTTCTGGCCACATCCCAAGAGAAGATTGAGGATGAGGGCATGGAATTTGCATGTTAAAAGTTCCCTGGGTGATGCTGATGTGGAATGTTCCAGAAGCACAGTTCCAGAGGCACTGATTTGGATCCTGAGTTCTGTGGAGAGTGGGCCATGAACCAGATGGCTCCGGTTTCACCCACTCATCACCCAGGAGTGCTGAGGAAGCAGTGACCCAGGTTAAGAGGGCGCTCAATCTACTGTCTTTCCGTCAGCATTGAGCGGACAGGAGCCAAGCAGTTCTCCTTGAGGGAACTGCAGACACGCGGTGTGCAGGCAAAAAGAGGTTTTTACAGATAGAAAGGGTGTCCTGTTGAATGGAACAATTCTGGATTCAGAGTGGTGACTGGCAAGGAGGTCCAGGGCCAGACTGTGGAAGGTCACCCTTGTGGTCATCGGTGTCACCCAGAACATGCAGCACTGGTGCCCAGGGTGGTCTCAGGCCTGGGTCCCAGTTCCCTTCCCATGTGGTGTTGACTGGGACCTGGTGGAAGCGGTACTGGGTGGGAAACTCCGGGAAAAGTGAGGGGGGAGGGCTGCGGTTCAGTCTCCCAATGAGGCCTGTCCTCTAAAGACCCTGGCACCTGAGCAGCTGTTGTCAGGCAGGGCTTTTGCTGCAAGGAGTCAGCAGGCTGTGTTCTGAGAAAAGCCAGCCATTCCGGGAAAGCACAGTCCTGGGGCGGCCACCCAGCATCAAGGCCAGAGGGGAGGAGGCTGAGCACTTCCTGTGTGCGGTTCCAGGGCCCAGCCTTTGTGTCCCACCCACCCCACCCCTTCCCCCAGGGCTTAGCTCTACCCATCTTTCTGGGCTGCCCTGGGAACAGAGGATGGGGCTGGGCAGCGATCACCACCCCCTACAGGCCGGTGGTGGGAGGACCGGCCTGCCATGTAGCCAGTGTCCTGTCCCCCTCAGCGGGGAGGCGATGTCCCCCCTCAGCGGGAGGAGGTGTCCCCCCTCAGCGGGAGGAGATGTCCCCCCTCGGCGGGAGGAGATGTCCCCCCTCGGCGGGAGGAGGTGTCCCCCCTCGGCGGGAGGAGGTGTCCCCCCTCGGCGGGAGGAGATGTCCCCCCTCGGCGGGAGGAGGTGTCCCCCCCTCGGCGGGAGGAGGTGTCCCCCTCAGCGGGGGGCGGTGTTCCCCTCAGCGGGAGGAGGTGTTCCCCTCAGCGGGGGGCGGTGTCCCCCCTCAGCGGGGGGCGGTGTCCCCCCTCAGCGGGGAGCGGTGTTCCCCTCAGCGGGGAGCCGTGTCCCCCTCAGCGGGGAGCGGTGTTCCCCTCAGCGGGGAGCGGTGTTCCCCTCAGCGGGGGGCGGTGTTCCCCTCAGCGGGGAGCGGTGTCCCCCTCAGCGGGGAGCCGTGTCCCCCTCAGCGGGGGGCGGTGTTCCCCTCAGCGGGGGGCGGTGTTCCCCTCAGCGGGGAGCGGTGTCCCCCCTCAGTGGGGGATGATGTCCCCCCTCAGCGGGAGGAGGTGTTCCCCTCAGCGGGGGGCGGTGTCCCCCCTCAGCGGGGGGCGGTGTCCCCCTCAGCGGGGAGCGGTGTCCCCCCTCAGTGGGGGATGATGTCCCCCCTCAGCGGGAGGAGGTGTTCCCCTCAGCGGGGGGCGGTGTCCCCCTCAGTGGGGGATGATGTCCCCCCTCAGCGGGGGGCGGTGTTCCCTTCAGCGGGAGGAGGTGTTCCCCTCAGCGGGGGATGATGTCCCCCCTCAGCGGGAGGAGGTGTCCCCCCTCAGCGGGGGGCGGTGTTCCCCTCAGCGGGGGGCGGTGTTCCCCTCAGCGGGGGGCGGTGTTCCCCTCAGCGGGGGGCGGTGTTCCCCTCAGCGGGGGGCGGTGTTCCCCTCAGTGGGGGATGATGTCCCCCCTCAGCGGGGGGCGATGCCCCCCACCAGCAGGGGCAGCAGGAGCAGCAGGAGGGACACGGACAGCCGCCCAGCCGCCCGGCTGATCTCGCACTGACAGTCGCAGGGTTCGGGCTGGAGCGTGGCTCTGGGGGGCCTGGGGGGGCGGGGGCCGGCGCTGGGGGCCGGGCAGTCCAGCCACTGGGGGCCCATGGGCCGGGGGGCGTCCGGCTCGGCCTTGACGCTGCCCTTGGGGAAGCGCCAGTAGTGGGCGCCCTTGAAGAAGTAGGTGTCCCCTGGTGGGGGGGGAGAGAAAGAGAGAGAGAGAGAGAGAGAGAGAGAGAGAGAGAGAGAGAGAGAGAGAGAGAGAGAAATATGCTGGGTGGTGCGGGCTGCTCCGAGCCCCGCCCACCCGACGGCTCCTCGCGTGACCCCCCTCTCCTCCCCTCACACCCCCTCCCCCCGGGGTGACCTCTAGTCCCAGCCCGGGGCCAGCCGCTTGCAAGCCGCCGGGCGCGGGCTCTCCTACCGTCGTTGCTGACGGCGACGTCGTCGGGGCTGGGAGGCGCGCCCTCCCAGAGACTCAGGTCGCGCGGGTAGCCCGGGTCCGGGCGCGCGGCCGCCTCGTCGAACCGCCAGTAGCTGTGGCCGCGGACCAGGTAGGTCTTGCCGTTGAGCGGCCACGAGAACACGGCGTCCACCTCCTCCCCCGGCGGCAGCCCCAGCTCGGCCAGCGGCCGCGCGGCGCCCTCTAGCTGCCGGTCCTTGAACACCCAGAACCGCGGGCCTGCGGGCAGGGAGCCTGGTGAGAGAGGGAGCTGGGTGCTCCTCCCCCTTGGCCCGGCCTCGCCCCGTGGGGCGCCCCACTCACCACTGAAGAGCAGGATTCGGCCGTCCCGGTGCCGGGTGTAGGCAGCCTGGATGACATTCACCTTGGGGGGCAGCCCCTCCCAGAAGCGGTGGAGCCCGGCAGGCCGGGGGGACACCAGCTGTCCTGAGGGTTGGAGGCGCCAGAACCAGGGGCCTGTGGGAGAAGGGGTGGGCATGGAGCGAGAGATGGCAAATGGCCGTGTCCCCCAGGGTGTGCGGGCGGCTGGGATTTAGCGCTGGGTGGGAGATGCATCTGGAAACCAGTGTCCAGTGGCTCTAGGTGACCAGACGTTTTGGGGCGACAAACTGTTAAAAATCGGGACTGTCCCGCCAAAAGCGGGACGTCTAGTCACCTTACTAGGGTGACCAGCTGGCTCGGGACTTTCCTTCTATCTGCACCCCCAATGTGTGTGTGTGTTTGTCAAATACAAGCAAAAGTTTGTGTAGAAAGTCACACAGGTAGAAGAAGTGAGCCCTGGGATAAGGGAGCCAGCTGAGCTGGCTGGGCTCAGGAAGCAAGTTACAGAGGCAAAAGTGGGGCTTCGGAGAAACAGCAAGGCCACAGCCTGGGGGAGGTAGGGGCGGAAAGGCTCCGGGGAGCCTCAGAGAGTGTGTGCTCCGGGGAAAGAAAGGGGTTGGGGAAAGGCAGTCCCTGGTGTGCTCCACAGAGAGCCACTCCCACCCGCCTTGAAAGTCCGTGTCCTGGGAAACCCCACAGGCCTGGTGGTCACCCTCAGTGGACAGGAAACCAACTCTGTGGGGCCGGGGAAGATCCCAAGTGACTCACCTTTGAAGAAGAAGGTTTCCCCACGGATGTTGGCGATAGCATCAAAATTGCCATCACATCGATCAGGGACAGGAAGGGAGGGGCTGAGGAGGAAAGGAGAGGTGAGGAGAAAGGGGTCAGGGCTCCTCCTCTATGTACTTCACCTTGAGGACAGCCCTGGGGGGACTCTTACTGAGCCCCCGCACCAAAAAGGACACCCTGGGGAGGGGAGGCCACTCACCCAAGATTGCAAAGCTGGAGGAGGACTCACCTGCCTGGGGGCTGGGCCGGGGGCGGGGGAGGAGGAGCCAGGGGTTTCCTTGTGGGCTCATCATATGGGGTTTGGGGTGCTTTCCCTGTAGAGAGAGTCAGAGAGATATGTGTTCCCAGACCCTGCTGCAGAGGCCACATGGGGAGCACCCTCCCACTCCACACCCCCCGCCCCCCCAGACACCACACACACACACACACACACACACACACACACACACAACTCCGTGTACCATAGAGCTGCTGCAGGCCTTCACGGTCATCTTGGGACAGCCGGTACTTGGTGGGATCGCCGACAGGACCCTGGTAAAAGGGCCTCATGATGGAGTCAGGGGCAGAGGAGTGGCCCAGGCCCAGGGCGTGGCCAAACTCATGGACTGCCACTGCAAACAGGTCTGTCCCCTCACCATCTGGGGAGGAAGGGAGACTGGGCTGGAGCTGGAGCTGGAGGAGCCAGGAACAGGGCAGCGAGGAAGCCCCTGGGAGCGGGGCCTGCTGGCAGCCAGGAACAGCCAGGAGACCCTCAGAGGAGGCCACAGCGTCCTCTGCCCAAAAGCCTCCCTGAGCCACTTCATCCTTCCTGTGGGAGTTGACTTGTTCAGCCAGTATTTTTGCTCGGCAGTGCTAGACCCTGGGATCCTGGGCTTACATGGCCGGTTGGCAAATTGCGGCTCACAAGCCACATGAAGCTCTTTGGCCCCTTGAGTGTGGCTCTTCCACAAAATACCTTGGCCTGAGCGAGTCTATTTTGAAGAAGTGGCCTTAGAAAAAGTTTAAGTTTAAAAAAATTGGGCTCTCAAAAGAAATTTCAATCGTTGTACTGTTTCTATTTGGCTCTGTTGACTAATGAGTTTGCCGACCACTGGGTTAGGGAAAGGGCAGAAGGAGACAGTCTGGCCCAGGGAAGACTAGCCTCACTGACGTAGGCCTGCCCAGAGAAACTCGGGGGAGGGGAAGCAGGAGACTGGGGTGCATACAGTTCCCTCAAGGAAAGTCCCGTTGAGTTTCCCTCTCCCAGCTCCAGCCAGTGGTCAGAGGTCCCCACCCACCCCTCGACACCCTCCCCACTCCCACCCACGAGGAATGCTGCTCAGTCACCTTGGCCTCTGCTCCTGAGACCTTCAGAATCCTGCTCCCACCCCCATGGTCCTTCGCCCTCCCCTCCTCCCATCTCTGTGGCCCTTCCCCACCTTTCCCTTCCACAGCTTCCGCAGCTCCCACCCCCCTGGGGTCCTGGCCTCTCCTCCCACCACTGCAGCCTCCATCCATCTCCTCAGAACCTGCAGCCTCAGCATGCACTCTCTGACCACAGTCTGCTGGCCTGGGTGCTCAGCCTCACTCCCTGCCTCTCTCTGCACACGGAGGCCTCTTCCTTGGGGACCAGCCCAGGCGCCAGAAGCAAGCCTCTCTACGTTCCCAGCTGCTGGCCAAACCTCAGCTCCTCTTCCATCCGCAAGCTTCCTGCTGGCCCCCGCTTCGCAGGTGAGAGGCCAAAAGTGACAGAGACAGTGAGAGGGGTGAGGAGCCTCCAGGAGGCATAGCTTTCCCACCCCCCCATGTTGATTTACTTCATGGAAACCTCTAACCGGCATCTGCAGTGCTGAACATGGCTTAATTGGACGTGGCCTAGGAACTGAGAAGCAATTTTCTCTCAGCTGCTAAGTGAGAGTCTAAGAGGGAAATGTGTAAGTCGTAAGAGGAGGAGCAAACACTTGTCCTCATTTACTCCTCACAAAACCCCTACCTCCCACCACCGTTTCCAGTCCAGGACACCGAGGCACTGAGAGGTCAGGCTAATGCGGCTGAAGCCCAGGCTGTGCTGGCCCGCTCTCAGCAAGGACCTCCGATGGTCTTGTTCACACTCAGAGGTCCTGAGGAGTTCCTGTGTTGCCTGTGGGGTTCCCGTTGCTCTGGGTCCTTTTTCTGAGAAATGAGGAAGTTTGGTGGGTTTTTGTTGTTGTTGCTGCTGCTGTTGTCCTCACATGAGGATATTTTTCCCAACACTTTTCAGAGAGAAGGATAGGGAGGGAAGGATAGAGGAAGAGAAGGAGGGAGAGAGAAAGAGGAGGGAGGGAAGGAGAGAGAGAGAGAGAGAGAGAGAGAGAGAGAGAGAGAGAGAGAGAGAGAAACAAACATCGATGTCCATCGGCTGGTTGCCTCCCCGACTTGTCCTACTGGGCAAACCCCAAAACCTAGGTATGTCCCCTTGACTGGGAATCCATGCTTGGGCCAACACTCTAACCACCTAACAACACTGGCCAGGGCGAGTGAGGTATCTTAATCATGTAGGACTCTTTCATCTTTCACTGTGTGTGTGTGTGTGTGTGTGTGTGTGTGTGTGTGTGTGTCCCCGTCTTGCCTCTCCTTTGGCCACACCCCTTCCTTGCACTCTTCTCATGCTATGCAGCTGGGGGAAATTACCCAACAGAGCCAAACATCAACAGCACAACGATTGAAATTTCTTTTGAGAGCCAAATTTTTAAACTTAAACTTCTTCTAATGCCACTTCTTCAAAATAGACTCACCCAGGCCCTAGTATTTTGTGGAAGAGCCACACTCAAGGGGCCAAAGAGCCGCATATGGCTCGAGAGCCGCGGTTTACCGACCACAGATCTATGGGGGTTCTCAATACTTTCTCTTAACCTTGCCCTGGGCCTCGGCTGGAAGCTGCTTTGCTCTCAGGTACTCAGCCTCAATTCCAAGCCCACAGCCCCTCAAGTTACCACCCAGGTCCAGCCCCCAGCTCTTGGGCGACAGATGCTGACAAATGCATTTCCTATTTCAAGACAGGCCGTCCTATGTAATTTCCTGTGTACCCAGAACGGATAGCTTCACCACCACCACCACCACCACCACCACCCTCCACCCCCGCTCACCTGCTGCCCTGCCCTGTTCCAGGACCCTGCCTTGCTCAACTCCTCTAGGACGAGAACAATGCCCCACCCATTCGTCCCTGCCTGCACCCTCCCCTGCTTCCATCCATCCATTCGTCTGTTTATCCATCCATCCACCAACCATTCCTTCCTATTAACTCAGTCGGCATCCTAAGACATTCCCTAGACCTGTCAGTCCACTCCCTCAGTTCCTCTCGCGCCTACCCCTCCTGTGGTCTGGACTCTTCCCCCATCCACCAAGCCTCCAGGCACCAAGGTCACTTCATTCGCACATGGCCAAATCCAAGTCCATGTCACTCACGGCATTGGTTTGCCATGCTGGCCACTTCCTCTTTCACTCTTGTTCTTGATCACCTTTTGGCCTGTTCTTTCCTTATTTCTTTGATTTCCCGTCCCCTGATGCCTTCCCCTTTACTATGGGGCTCTCCACAGCTCTATATTTGACCTTCACACGCCACACTCTCCTCCTTACCAACCCTCCAGGGCCTCCTGCTCTCAAATCTGCCAGCAGGCTCAGACCAGACAGCAGCTGGCCATGAACAGAGTACGACTCTGTGTCAGGCCTTGTGCAGAGAGCTGGAGGCGAATTACTCACTTAATCCATAAGACCACGCTACCAATGAGTAATATTATTCCCATTTCTCCGTGCAAAAACTAAGCACAAAAACTAAGCACACTGAAGTCAAGTAACTTACACACATAGCAAACAGAGGACTATAACCCAACCTTGAGTTCTGCTTCAAGCTTGCAATCTTTTGTTGTGTTTTGTTTTTAAGAGGAAAAGAGAGAAAGAGAGGGAGAGGGAGAGGGAGAGGGAGAGGGAGAGGGAGAGGGAGAGGGAGAGGGAGAGGGAGAGGGAGAGGGAGAGGGAGAGGGAGAGGGAGAGGGAGAGGGAGAGGGAGAGGGAGAGGGAGAGGGAGAGGGAGAGGAAGAGAGAGAGGCATTGATAGGCTGCCTCCTGCATATCCCCAACTGGGGATGGAGCCTGAAACCTAGGCATGTGCCTTGGGAATCAAACCTTTCAAGGCAGGGGATGACACCCAACCCACTGAACCACGCAAGCCAGTAAGAACTTGTGTTGTTAGCCGAGGCCGGTTTGGCTCAATGGATTGAGCGCCTGCCTGAGGACTGAAGGGTCCCAGGTTCGATTCCAGTCAAGAGCATGTGCATTGCTTGCGGGCACATCCCCAGTAGGGGGTGTGCAGGAGGCAGCTGGTCGATGTTTCTCTCTCATCGATGTTTCTAGCTCTCTATCCCTCTCCCTTCCTCTCTGTAAAAAATCAATAATATATATATATTTTTTTAAAAAGAGCTTGTGTCCTTAAATGCTGTGTCACACAGTCTCACTATTGTGGCTGCTAGCTGTACCTTGCCCAAAACCTCTCTGAGCCGGTGTGCCTATGCCCTGGCTGCCCCTGCCTCAGAAAATGGCTCTCTCTCCCTCCCAGGCCACCTCTGCCCAGCAGGTCACAATGGCGGACGGATGCAGGACGAGGAGAGCTGGGCACGTGGCCTCCAGGAAGGACCAACTATGAGGCACCCCTAGTGCTCCAGAGCTCCGAGCCGGGTCAGGCTCCTCTGGCCGAGACCACATCCTTGCTCAGCTCTTTCCCCAGGCTCCTGCTTCCCTTTCTCCTGAGAACGTACCCCTGAGAAACTGCTTGCCTAAGAATTTACGTCGGGAGCTCCCGTTCTGGGGAACCTAACCTAAGTCACAGGAGCCCAAGCTCGTGAGCCACATGCGGCTCTTTGGCCCCTTGAGTGTGGCTCTTCCACAAAATACCACGTGCAGGTATTTGATTGAAACTTCGTGGCCCATGCGCAGAAGTCGGTTTTCGGCTCTCAAAAGAAATGTCAATCCTTGCCGAAACTGGTTTGGCTCAGTGGATAGAGCGTCGGTCTGTGGACCGAAAGGTCCAAGGTTCGATTCCAGTCAAGGGCATGTACATTGGTTGCGGGCACATTCCCAGTAGGGGGAGTGCAAGAGGCAGCTGGTCAATGTTTCTCTCTCATCGACATTTCTGGCTCTCTATCCTTCTCCCTTCCTCTCTGTAAAAAATCAATAAAATATATTAAAAAGAAAAAAAGAAAAAAGAAAGAAATGTCAATCCTTGTCCTGTGGATATTTGGCTCTGTTGACTAATGAGTTTGCCGACCACTGCTCTAGAGCAACATTCTGAACCACCAAAGCATTCACTAGCTGCACCAACTGCCCATAGCTCTACAGACACGTACCCAGGTAAACTCACCCCTACCTTCCCGCAGCCTGCTTCTCCTGCCCCCACACTTCCCACCTGCATTACCAGGACTGTCCTCCAGGGGCCAGCACGCCAACCTCCTATACCCTTTGTCCCCAGGATCCAGTCAGACCCCAACCTTGACCCATCCTGATTAAACGTCCCTCAGAGCCACCCACTGCCCTCCATTCACCAACCCCCACCTCCCACCACCATCCTCGCGTTGGCTCTGTACCAACTGTCCACCTTCCTGCCCTATCTTGCCCTGCACCTCAGCCAGTGGCACCTCTAGAATGCAAAACCTTCCACATCGATTCCTACAGAACCCTACAATTCAGACGCCTCCCTGTGCTCACCAAGGCCCCTTTGTGTGATATGAAACCTCCCATCCACCCTCCGTGGTCTCCCTCCCAACACTGTGCTGTTTGCCTCCCAGCCCCCATGTCCTCGGCCACCTCTCACCCCAGTGCTCTCATCCCTGACCACATGACCATCCTGCACTCGGCCAGCTCACTGGCTTGCGCTTCCATATTGAACCTCACCCCCTCCCTGTATCCTCTAGGAGAGCAGGGCCTGGTGTGCTAGCTGGCACTCAGTGTGTGGGTGTGTGAAAGAGAGAGAGAGAGAGAGAGAGAGAGAGAGAGAGAGAGAGAGAGAGAGCAGAGTCACTGCTTCCAGGAAGTCTCCTGCAGCCCAAAGCCTCAAATCAGTCCACTCTCTGAGCACCCGCAGGCTTGAGGACTTCCCTGTAGTAACTCCTTGTGGTTGTGTCATGATGTGTAGCAACCGCCGCTTACTCTTCTGACTCAGGGGCTGTACAGAACTGAGTTTTTGCCTTTTTAAGTTCTCGGCCCCAGCTCGGAGCTGGGCACTGACAGGCCTCTTGGATGGGTTGTTTTCTGTGTCAGAGTGGCCAGACGATGGCGCCTAGTTGCTTGGTCAAATGCTAGCCTCGATGCTGCTCTGGAGGTTATTTTGCAGGTGCAATTCTAAGTAAAGCAGATTATTCTCCATTCTGTGGGCGGGCCTCACCTAATGAGCTGCAGGGCTTAAGAGCAAAACACTGAGCTTTCCCCGGAAAAAGAATCCTGCCTTCGGACTGCAACATAGAAAGCCTGCTTGGGTTTCCAGCCAGCTGGCTGGCCCTACAGATTTTTAAAAAATATATATTTTATTGATTTTTTTACAGAGAGGAAGAGAAAGGGATAGAAAGCTAGAAACATTGATGAGAGAGAATCATCGATCAGCTGCCTCCTGCACACACCCTACTGGGGATGTGCCCACAACCAAGGTACATGCCCTTGAGTGGAATCGAACCTGGGACCTTTCAGTCCACAGGTCGATGCTCTAGCCACTGAGTCAAACCGGTTTCAGCTGGCCCTACAGATTTTGGACTCAAAATGGCAACATCAATTCTCATCTGAACTTCCAGCCTGGGGACCTGCCTTACTGATTTTGGACTTGCCAGTTCCACAATTCCATGTACCAATGCCTTAAAATAAAGCACACTCATGTACACACACACACACACACACACACACACACACACACAAACACACACACACACACACACATCGTATTGGTTCTGTTTTCCTGGAGAAGCCCAACGGATACCGCCTCTATCAACAAATGTAATTTAAACCTAATTCTTAAAGGACAGGCAGACAGACAGACCTGGGGAGAGGACTTCTCAGAAGAAGGGACATTGTACCTTTTGACCCAAAAGTCCAGATTTCTTCATCGTCGAAGTGAGTGTCCCCGGAGATGGAATGCTCCCCGGGGAAGAAGGCGTGGGCGAGGGTGCCCCCCTGCCCGTCGAAGGGGTAGCTGTCCTGGTGGTAGGCCCGGACAAAGTCGATGAGGATGTCCGGGTCCGGTGAGCCCTGAGGACCCACCTCCTGGAACTTGAGGCCGGACTCAATGCCCCAGGTGGTCAGGGCGTGGTGCATGAGAATCCGCACGGTCTCCGGGCTCAGCGCCGAGCTCCGGGGGAAGGAATTTATCCTGGGGAAAGAGGGGTGGGGGTAAGGACAGCCGAGGAGACAGACCGGGGCCCAGCAGGCCAGCCCAGGGTGGGGCAGGCACCAGCACCTACCTCCACGTCAGGGTCTGCTTCTTCCAAACACTGCCGCTCAGAGCATAGCGACGGCGCCGCCGCCTGACCAGCTCCGCCACCCCGAGCACGTCGGGCAGAGAGCAGCGGGGCTTATGCATGGTGGCTATGGTGACTGGGTCTGTGGGACGGACAGGTTGGGGGAGCGGGATCAGCAGGACAACCTGCCATAGCCATGATGCCAGCTAACTTCCCACATGGGAAATGGGTTCAGGGAGGTTAAGACATGTGCCCCCACTTGGATTGGAACCCAGGCGGTCTGATCCTGTAAGCCAGCTCATACCAACGGGCACCTGGCCCTGGAGGGCCTGGCTGCCTCCAGTGCTGCTCGGAGCCTCCGGCAGGGAACTTCCCTGAGCCCTGTGGGTGCAGTGCAGACTCCTCTCTCTGAGGCTGGAAACCCCTCGGAGGGTGCCCACACCCCACGCCAGAGGTTCCAAGACCCTATCATGTCTAGATAAAATCTGTCCAGAGTCCCCCATGCCGGCTGGGTCTCTGGTTTCCTGTGACTAACCACCCGCTCCTGGGTGAGAGCTGCCTGGAACCCCCTTTTCCAGCTGAGCTCAGTTTCCAGCAGACTCCTCCGCCTCCACAGAAGGTCAGACCTCACCTCGATGGCAGAGGCCACGACGTGTCACTGAGCACGTGTGGATGCCAGGCTCTGCTGGGCAGCAGCCAGGGCAGAGGAACGCCCTGCCTTCCCTCACCGCCAGCCAGGAACCCACCACTTCTCTCTTCCCCATTCAACCCGACAGATGAGCCTCTCAGCTCCGCCTCCAAAATGGGCACTCTGGAGTCCACCGTGTCTCATCACACGTTCCGCCATCAGCCCTTGCCCGCACCCGGCACGACCTCCTTGCTGGCCTCCGTGCTCCCCACCCACCATTCTCCATCAGCAACCCAAGGAAATAAATGTAAAGCTGCAATACAGACCATGTTGCCTTCCTCCTTCAGACCCTTCCATGGCTTCTGGCCGTGCTTTGGAATCAAACCCAAACCCCTTTCAAGCCCCCCACCCCCACCCCCACCAGGCCTCTGCTTAGCTCCTTAGCCCTCTCTCCTCACAGGTGCACAGCCTGTGCCAGCCACAGGGCCTCTGCGCTGGCCTGGTACCCTCTTCTCCCGCATCTTCCCCCCGGCTGGCTCCTCCTCGTGGTGTCCTATGAGTTCTCTGTGTCATAGGAATTCTCTTGACTCCCGTGACACCTGTCAGAGGACCCTGACCTGGCCAGCCCAGCCCCTCAGCACTATTACTGTTTTATTTTCTTCGAAAACACCACTCTCTGAAATTATCCTGCCTATTTCTGTTTCTGGCCTCCAGAATGGATCTGTCTCCAGAAAGTTAGCTCTATGAGACCAGGGACTTATCTACTTTGCTCACTCAGGGTCCAGGCCCGAAATGGCCTCTCACGAAAGCGATTCTCGATACATTTTTCGGTATTTCTTGGGTGAGGGCCTGAGTTCAGCACCGTCCTAGCCCCCTTGACTCCGCGCAGGCTGAGGGTTAGGAGCAGCTGGGTAGTGGTCAGGCTGGTGGGTGCGGAGGGAGGCAGGGCCGGGGGCACCTACCCAGCTGGCCGGTCTCGGGCAGCCCGGCAAACCTCTGCATCACCTTGATGACCTCCCGAAGCTTCTCAGGGCTCTGCAGCTGGGCCTGGGCTGGGTGGGGCGGTGGCAGGTAGCCATAGCGGGTCAGCCAGTCCTGGGCGGTAGGAGTGAGCAGGTGAGGCGGGCAGGGCGGGAGCGGTGGGACTCTGCTTTCTGCAAGCCTCGCCGCTCACCAGTCCGGAGCCGGGGCGGGCGCCCCTCTCCAGGCCCTGCCCTCCTGCCCTGGGTTGGCAGTCTTCTCCGAGCCCCCGAGTCCTGGTGCCCACCTCCCCCGCCCCGTCCCGTTCCAATCTTCAAACCCTGGTCCCAACCCCGACGTTTCCTAGAATCCGGGATCCCAGACCCCATCCGCACTCGGTCACTGCGGACACTGGAACCAGCGCTCAGCCTGTCCTGGGTGTCCGGCGCCAGCTCCCCTCCCCCCACGCCCTTGCGGATCCCAGAGGCCGGGAGACCCCACTCACCAAGCCCAGGCTCACGTCCTGCGCCGCGGGCTCCGGGGCGGGCGCGGGCAGCGGCGGCGGGAGCAGCGCCAGGAGCAGCAGCGCCGGGAGCCGGAGCCCCGGGAGCCGGAGCCGGAGCCCCGGGAGCCGGAGCCGGAGCCGGAGCATGGCGCGCTCCGGCCGGAGCAGCGCGGGGCTCCAGGGGCCCCGACCGAGCCGCCCGGGTCCGGGGAGGAGAGCGGAGAGGCTAGGGTGGGGCACCTGGTGCTGGGTAAGGGGGGAAGGCAGGAGGATCGGGGACCGCACAGGGGGCAGGGGTCCTGGGGAGCAGGGGGCAGGGGTATGTGGAGCCCAGCGGAGGGCCCAGGGGCGCTGGGCCTGTAGTGACGGATCCGAGGGGTCCGGGCCGGTCCTGTGCCGGCGGCGGCCCCTCCCGCGGCGGGGCGGCGCGGGGCGGGGCGGGCACACCCCGATTAGCGGTGAAAGCGGGGCGGGGAAAAGGCCCAACTTTCTGACTTCCAGCGAGACGGGGCGGGCCAGGTGAACCCCCTCCAGCTCTGAGCCGGCCCGGGGGCAGGGCGGGGCGGGGCGGGGCAGGGTGAGGGGCGGGCGGGGGGAGGTTTGCAAGGAGCCCCGGCCGCAAGTTTCTCTTCCCAGGTCCGAACGCCGGTGGGGCTCGGGGGCGCGGCTCACTTCTGCTTTCTCAGGCGACAGCCAGCTCGGCTGCAAGGGAAGGAGCGGCTCCAGCCCCCTCCCCTCCCCCAATCCCCTCCATCCCCCTCTCCTCCCCAGCCACCGCGCCCCAGACCCTACGCCAGGAGGAGGCGTCTCGCCTCTGTGGTCCGCGCGCCCCAGGCGGGTCGCATCCGGTGCCCACTGTGTGCCCGGGGAGGGGGTGGGGGCGCCTGCGATCTCTGTTCATCCCCCCAACCGCCTGGGCTGCTCGGGTCTCAATCCTCGGCGCGCGGGGTCCGGGTACCCCGCATCCCAGCCCTGGAGCTGCCCAGCCGGTGCGCTTCCCCCCACCGCTAATCGGAGCATCACAATCCAGTAACCGAACGACTGGAGCGCCTGGCCTGCAGCGTGCAGGGAGCGCGAGGGGAGCAGACCCTAGAGCAGGGATGTGGGGGGACCGCCCCCCCCCCCCCCCCGCCATGCCGCCGGGGAGCGCAGGGCTCGGAGGCCCGGCAGCTGGAAAAGGATTAGGAGGAACCACGGCACCTTGCGGGGAGGGACCGGAGAGCCGCACAGCTCTGTCTCTGGGCCGGGCAGCCACCGACCCAGGTGTGTTTTAGACAAAGAGCAGGCGGGACAGGAGCCAGAGGCACAACCACAGCACCTGAGGTCCTGCGCTGGTCCTCCCGGCTGCCGTGACCAACTACTGCAGACCGGGTGACGTCAGCCACGGAAATAAAGATTTTCTCACAGTCTGGAAGCTGGAGGTCCAAGGTCAAGGAGCAGGCAGGGTGAGTTTCTCCTACCATCTCAAGGCCTCTCTGCTTCGCTTGAAAGTGGCCGCTTCTTCCCGGTGTCCTCGCGTGGTCCTTCCTCTGTAGCCCAGATGCCTCTGTGTGTGTCCACATGTCCTCTTCCTTAAAAAACACACCTGTCCAGCCCAGCCGCAATAGAGCATAGACCGTGGTTGAGCATAGACCAGGAGGTCACTGGTTTGATTCCCTGTCAGGGCACAGGCCCAGGTTGTGGGCTCTGTCCCCAGTAAGCCGTGCAGAAGGCAACCAATCAGTGATTCTCTCTCATCATTGATGTTTCTGTCTCTCTCTCTCTCCCTCTCCCTTTCTCTCTCTGAAACCAATAAAAAATATTATTTTTTATTTTAAAAAAGACACCAGTCAAGCCCTGATGGATGTGTCTCAGTGCTTAGATCACGGGTTCAATGGGGGAAGGGGGGTGCATTCAGGTGGCAACCAATTAATGTGTCTCACATCAATGTTGTTTTTTCTCTCTTCCTCCCTCCTTCCCTCCTTTCCACTCTGTCTGAAAATCGATGGGGGAAAAAAATATCCTTGGGTGAGGATTAACAACAACTAAAAAGACACCTTAATATTAAAATAAATAAATAAATAAATAAATAAATAAATAAATAAATAAATAAAAATAAAAAGACACCAGCCGGGACCGGTTTGGCTCAATGGATAGAGCCTCGGCTTGGGGACTGGAAGGTCCCGGGTTCGATTCCGGTCAAGGGCATGTACCTTGGTTTCTGGCATATCCCCAGTAGGGGGTGTGCAAGAGGCAGCTGATCGATGACTCTCTCTCATCGATGCTTCTAACTCTCTATCTCTCTCCCTTCCTCTCTGTACAAAATCAATAAAATATATTTTTTTTAAAAAAGACACCAGTCAGTCAGATAAAGATCCACCCTAATGGCCTCATTTTGCCTTAATCACCTCTGTAAAAGCCCTGCCTTCAAATACAGTCCCATTCTGAGGTCCCGGGATGGGGGTTGGGAGGCACAATTCAGTCTGCTACCGATCCCACACTCCTCCTGGGTGTTCCCCCTCCTCTCTCACTACAACCACCCTCTCAGCTCTGACAGCAGCTGTGCGGGTTCCTTCCCAAGCCAAGCAACTCTCTGACACCAGCTCAGTGTCACTTCCAACACTAACCAGAGTTAGCACCCCCCACACACAGGCTAGGGCTCAGTCCCGGGAGACTTCCCCCATCTTCAGATGCCAATTGCAGACAATGGACCAAGTTTACCCACAATTTCTACAGACTTGACTACAGAGCGTAGGTTCCTATGGCCACCACGGATCACTTGCTAGAACAGCCCGCAGAACGCAGGGGAAGATAATAAAGGATACAGAACGACAGCCAGACACATCGGGGGAAATCTGGAAGGTTCCCAACCAAGCACAAGAGCTTCTGTCCATGTAGAGTTGGGGTGCCACCTCCCGACAAGTCAATGTTCTCCAACCCTGGAGCTCTCTGAACCCCATACTTTTGGGATTTTTATGGTCGGCATGACCAGCTACTAACTCAATCTCCAGTCCCTCTCCCCTTCCGGAAACATGTGGGGCTCCAAGTTCCAAGATACTAACCATGGTCTTCTGGGTGACCAGCCCCCCTCCAGGAGGTACAGGAGCCCACTCAAAGTCACCTCGTTAGAACAAAAGACACTCTATGACCCAAGAAGTCCTGAGGGGTTATAGAGCATGGAAGACAGAGGGAAAGACAGAGAGAAACATCAGTGTGAGAGGGACACTTCAATTGGTTGCCTCTGTGTCAGGAACTGGAGCAGACCAATACATATATTTTCTATTACTTCACAGCCCCCCACTGGCCTCTGATCATAAAACACGTCTCAAAAGATATTGGCACATTACTAGAACCCCACACAGTCATTAGTATTCATTTCAGTCAATCATCATGTCATATAAAAATGTCCCCCAGGCCATAGCCAGTTTGGCTCAGTGGATAGAGCGTCGGCCTGCAGACTCAAGGGTTCCAGGTTCGATTCCAGTCAAGGGAATGTACTTTGGTTTAGGGCACATCCCCAGTAGGGATGTGCAGGAGGCAGCTGATTAATGTTTCTCTCTTATCAATATTTCTAACTCTTTTTCTCTCTCCCTTCTTCTCTATAAAAAATCAATAAAATATGATTTTTTTAAAAAGAAAAAGGAAAAAGAAAATGTCCCCCAGAATGATGGCGTCCATAGCACCAGAGTTGGACGCTAGCATTCCACACCCAGGACGTGGAGGGAGGGAGGACTGCAGATAAAATGTGGGACTGCTGGGCTGGGAGTGAGCCCAGCAGACAGAATGTGGGGCCTCTGACCTGGGGGTGTGCACCAGGCAGCTGCCACCATGTGTCTAGGGACATGCCCCCAGCCAAGCGGCCAGAAGCCCAGTGAACACAATGCAGGGGGTCCTCTGGGCATGAGCTGCAGAGGAAACACCTTTTCTGGTGGCTCATTGGCTAAGCTCCCTGTAAGCTGCCACTCACAGTGTTCTTGGTAACTTGGGTAATAAGAGTCCAAGAAGGTGATCTAGGGTTTTTTCACATCACTCCTGGAAAAAAAACTAAGGTCTGCTGCTGGAGGGGCTAAGAAATGTCTTATCCTGCCCTAGCCAGTTCAGCTCAGTGGATAGTGACTCAGCCTGCCGACCGCAGGATCCAGGTTTGATTCTGATCAAGGGCATGCACCTAGGTTGCAGGCTCCTCCCTGGCCGGGGCCCAGATCAGGGCTCATGCAGGAGGCAACCAATTGAAGTGTCCCTCTCGCACTGATGTTTCTCTCTGTCTTTTCCTCTGTCTTCCATGCTCTCTAAAAATCAATGGAAACATATCCTCAAGTGAGGATAAGAAAAAAAGGAAAGAAAGAAGAAAGAAAGAAAGAAAGAAAGAAAGAAAGAAAGAAAGAAAGAAAGAAAGAAAGGTCATATCCTATGAACGACACATCTTGAAAATGCCTAAAGAAAGTTGTCATTTTTTCATGGTGAAGGGACTGGAGTCCGTGTTGATGAAAACACCTTGGCGGCTGTGACAGTGGCAGCAGCAGCAGGGTAATGTGGCTGACACCTTCCCCTGATCAGCCTGGTCACCTCCTGCAGAGGGAGGCCAGATTGGGGCTTAGGCCTGCTCCCTGTCAGTAGGACATCCCCTGAGAATTCCCAGTCTGTGAAAGGGGGCAGGCTTGGCTGAGGGACTCCCCCCGCCCCACCCCCCCCCGTCCAGTGCATGAATTTCGTGCACTGGGCCTCTAGTCTGATGTAATTGTGCTAAGAGACGATATCATCTCTTGCTCTGAGCCTCTTTCGAGGTGTTAATGTAATATTGGTCTCTCATTACATAACCCATTTGTTCATAATTTTTCCCTTAGCTGCTGTTTCTCCTCTTTATTTATCCCCAGACTCTTGTACTGTTGGAAGAGATGTTTGGCCATTGTGCTGGTCTAGATTGCAGGCAGCAACACTCGTCTATCAAGAAGGTAAGAACAGATCAGTTGCCTCCCCTTCAGTCCACTCCTGTTCACACAGGGTGAGGTCACACAGGTGCAGACCTTGTGAGCTGTCCTTATCAGCAGGTATACAGCTGCAGTAACACCAATTTTGGTAGATGGAGCAGATGAAGGCACATCTTGCTCCATCAGGCCCTTAGGAATTCTGACATAGATTTAAAATGTAGTTGCCGAAAAATAAATTAA